AGACAGTTTGGCTGCTGGTGGCTATTACTGACTGAATCTCTCTTTCTTCTGTAGGTTAAAAATACAGAGAGGAGAGGCACCAGGGTGGCTCAGTCAGTTAAGCGAGGATTTCAGCTCCAGTCATGATCTCAGGGTTGTGAGTTCAAGCATCATATCGGGCTCTCTACTGTCAGCTAAGAGCTCGCTTGGGATCCACCTTCAACCTCTGTCGCTCTGCCCCTCCCCCATGCTCACTCTCTCTCAAAAGCAAATAAACATTTTAAAAAGTTTACAAAAAAGAAATATAAAGGGGAAATTTAAAGCCAACTGGACCCTGTTCCTTTGATGGTGGCTTACTTTCATTTGATATTTGTGAATTACTTTTGCTTTTATCCCTGATACTGAAGTTTTGGGGTTTTTTGTTATTTTTTTCTTAAATCTTAACCCTAGGATTCAAAACTTTTTTCAGAATGTGGCTTTGAATTGAGATCAGGTGGAACACAATTTAGTCCTCTTTTTTTTTTCAGCTCTGATTCTGTTATTTTACTGTCTTTGATTATTCTATTTCAGTTCTTCAGGTGTGTTTTCTCAGAAACAACTATAATTAGACTTGATTTTTCTGGTCCTTCAGATCTCAAGTCTTCTTTCATCTATTGGTTCTTTTCTCTAGCCATATGGGGGTGTTTGTCTTCTACATCAATGATTTAATTTTACTTAGGACGCATCTACATTTTTTTCTCTCCCCCCAAGTGGGTAATATTCTTTCACTTCATTTTTAGAATCTCTCTAGTGCTTCTTGATTTTACTTAGAATCCCTTTTTATCTTACCCAGTAGTCCTTTATTGATTTATGGCTTTCTACTTTTGTCTTTAAGGGAATATCTTTTTGTATCTTGTTAACAATGCCAAATACTTTCCTAAAAATTGTATCTGTTCCTTTAGGGAGTCGTTTTTAGGAGACAGGTCTTCCTTTGAAGCTTCAGCTTTTTCCATATTTTTTTTCCATATTTATGTACTACTTCTTGGTAGACCCATGTTGACATTTAGCTCTTGTTTTCATTCCTGAATTTGGCAATATCCATCTAGACTCCCTCACAAAGAAGGTGCTTGGATTGCCCTGGGGTCCACCTTCTGTCTTCTTGTTTGCTAGTAAAAGGCCTCTTATAGATCTCAGACCTTGAGGCTATTGATGTTTACAGGCCCTGGCTCATTTACAGTGGGCTAGAAGAGTCTCTAATAAAGCAGTAATTGCCAATGCCTTGTTCTCTGTACTCTCTGTATGGATTAGTTAAGAACTCCAACCCCAAGAATATAGTACCACCATAGATCATCTTGTCTCTAAATCTGTTTTTCTGCATTTAAAACTCCAGGGTGCTAAGTATTTCTCCTTTTTCCCCACTTACATTTTGAAATAGCAGTCACTCACCCATGGGGGGTGGGGGAAGATAGACAGACTCTCCCTGCCTCAAAAAACCTCATTCGTGACCTAGAGCAGTCAAGGTTTCTGACTGATACAGATGGTTGCATTTGTATCTGAGATGGTAGAAAACAGACAAAGGGAGCTACACACAGATTTTCCTACTTCCTTTAAGACTCCTAACTTGTTTATCTCTGCCTTGAATTTTGTTTTTAAAATCTAATTTTATTGTTTTCTGCTGCAGAATTCTCTGATTCTTGCAGTAGGTTAAAGGTTATATCTTTCTTTTTGTGGCTGCATTGCACCTTTATTTTACCTCTTATTTTATCGGTATTTTAGTGGGAGGTTAGAGGAGGCTAGATGTCAGGAGATGGTAGCTAGACACCATTTAAAACTGTAACTTTAATGAAACTACACAAATAAAAAAGTTATGTGTGTGGCAGAATCCTTGAAAATTTTGCTTCCTGCAGATACTTTGTGGGAATAAACTCTGCCTCGTAAATATTCATCGCAAGTTGTTATTCAAATGATAGAGGCATTGGTGTCCTGTATTAGAACCTGTGTCTTATGAAAACCAGGTCATTTTAGGGAAGAAATAAAATGTAGGTACAATAAGTGATTATAAGAATTCCAATGACTTCCATAAAGTTTTTATTATACATAAAAATTGCCTGATCACTGCCTGCTCACAGAAGAGTTTTAGAGCTGAAACAGCTGTTATAAATCATTTAACCTGGGAGTTGCAAATTCACTTGTCTTCAGGACCAGAAAAGTGACTTGCATATGCATGAAGTAGGTTGGTTTAATATATCGGGGAGTAGAAGGGACTAGAGAAAAGTGGAGATTACTTATGCCACCACATCCTTGGGCCATATACCAAAACAGTATACTATAAACTCCCTCAATAATAGATTTGTCCAAAGCTAGAAGATTCGGTGCATTTTTTTTAATTAAAAATTTTTTTTAATATTTTATTTATTTTTGAGAGAGAGACAGAGCACGAGCAGGGGAGGGACAGAGAGAGAGGGAGACACAGAATCTAAAGCAGGCTCCAGCATCTGAGCAATCAACACAGGGCCCAACACGAGACTCACACTCAACAAACCATGAGATCATAACCTGAACCAAAGTCGGATGCTCAACTGACTGGGCCACACAGGTACCCCAAAGATTCAGTGCATCTTAACCAGAACCAGCTACATAATTTGCAGTGCCCAGTGAAAACAGAATGTAGACCCCCCCCCCCTTCTTCAACAATTATTAAGAATTTCAAGATACTGACAGCAGAACATTAAACCAAGCATGGGACCCTATGGTGGCTGCACAAGTTACATGGTCTTGAAGCCATTCCTGGTCTTCACTTCTGATCTAGAATTTTTACATTCAGACAGAAAGAAACATACAGACACTTCATCCACAACCACCAAAAATCAATAATGGAGATGTGGCCAAAATTAAATCCTTGACTTCGATGCTGCAGCAAGTGAACCACTTTTAGTTATAAAAAGGCTTTTGTATGAGACTTGAGACCCATCACCTTTCTATATTGTTTGGAAGTTTTCATTGAATTATTATACTGCTTTCCATCAGTTTTTGTTGTTCCTTCCTGAATTCAGGTTTTATGAATTATTAGTTGGAGATTTTCAACCCTAAAGTTCAAAGCTCTTCTCTAAATGTTAGCTCTGATTTGAATTCCAGAATGTTTAAACGGTCAGTCAGTCTGGGAATGAAAGTCTGAGGGACACTTGTGTCTGCTGTTGGGTCTTAACTCAGCTCTCAGAGGCCCCCTACCATTATTCTTTTCCTCTTACCTGAAGAAGCTGTTGTTTTTCCAGAATATTTTGTCCAGAATTTGAATCATCACCTGAAAACATAGCTTGCGAACACGTAAAGCAATCTTCTGCCTCCTGACAGATTGAAGTTGACTAGTCCCTTTCTCATCTTGTCATTTGTGATCATTTATAACTTGTACTACTAACAACATAGTACTACTAACAACATAACCTCGGGAATGCTATTTAGTGAAATTTAGCCAGCTTTTAAAGGCATAGCTATTCATACCCAAAAAAACACAAGAAATAACAGGGAGGGGGACAAAACATAAGAGACTCTTAAATATGGAGAACAAACGGAAGGTTATTGGAGAGGTTGTGGGAAGGGGGCTGAGCTAAATGGGAAAGGGGCATTAAGGCATCTACTCCTGAAATCATGGTTGCACTGAAACCATTGTTAACTAACTTGAATGTAAATTTAAAAAAATAAATTAAATTAAAAAAATAAATAAATGCAAAATACAAAAAATAAAATTGGGAATTGGGGTACTAGGGCAAGAGGTTTTTTTTTTTTTTGTAGTAATCATATATACATATAATATATAACTTGTATTAAGTCTTTATATTTCCGGAAAGTTTTGGTATATATTTTTAAAATTTCAGTTACTCACCTTTAAGCACTTCAGTGTAAATCCCCTAAAAACAAGGACATTCTCCGAGGTAGACCTTAATACAATCCCCCCACTCAATAAATTTAACATTTATATAACATTAATGTATAAGATTCATATTCGGTGTTTTCCATTGTCCCAATAATTTTTTCCAATAAGTTTTGATATTTTTAACAAACACCTTCTAATCTATTATCTGTTTATTATCTTTTAAGACCACATCACAGAATCTAATTTTGTTATGAGATGCATTACTTTTCTTTCTAAAGCGAGGTTTTGAAAGTCTTATTTAGAAGTTTTTGGCTATCCCCAAATTGCAAAGGTATCTTTCATCAATTTCCTCTCTTAGCTTTATAGTTTCACCTTTCAAATTTAGGTCTTACACCTCAGTGTGGTACATTTTTGTATAGAGTAAAAAATAAGAGCTTCAACTTTTTCCCCCCACAAACATTACCACTGTCTACATAAAGTCTTACATTTTAAGAAAAACATTGAATCATTTAAAATTGAAAGGGACCAATTTTTTTTTCCCTCACTGAACATCTAATTAGCAGCTAGATGTACAGTTTGGAGTGGTATAAGGTAGTCATTAACATTTGTATATCAGAAGGATGATTTAGATGCCAAACAGCTTCCTGTAGCAACATCGCAAAGGTATCCTAAGTATTTGTTGAAAGATGAAAAAAATCTTACCTGATCTAAAAATACTCAGGATTTTTTAATTTTTAAAACAAGTATGAGCTTCAGTTAATTTCACGTATTAATATCTGAATTAGGCAAGGAATTCATATCAATCTTATGTATCTTTATATTGTTGAAGTATATCCCTTCATGAATGATTAACAAGAGGAAATTCATAAGTTGGAGAAAGAAAAGATGAACAAATGGGTAAAGACAGTAACTGAGTGAAAAATTTTTAATGAATTATTAATATTTAAGATTTTTTAGTAAGCCATACACCTGAGTATATATGTTCAGCTAACACAGAAATTACTCATTAAGCTTAATCCCTGCTTGGAGTGGTGTGTGTGTGTGTGTGTGTGTGTGTGTGTGTGTGTGTGTAACAAATTCAAGGGACTTTTTTTTATTAACATATGTCAGAATACTGTGCTGTGAAATATATAAACTGAATGTCATAGAATTTTTTGTTTAACTTCTACAGGTGGAGATTTTCATTTCACCTTTATGTATTTATCTATGGAGTCCGGTTCCTGAAAAAGGTAGGATCTGCCAAGTTACTTTATGTAATTCTTATGTAACTGTAAGCCTGTATCTCATTTTTTCAATGTGTAACGGTAGTAATATTTTAAACAATCATAACAGGCTTCCTAAAAATATTTGTGCATTTTTCTTTGACTTACAAAAATATCTGTGATTTATTCTTCTATGGTAAATACTTTTTTAGGTAGATACCAAAAATGTCTTTGAAAGTAATTTATTTTGGGGCACCTGAGTGGCTCAATTGATTAAGCATCCGACTTTTGCTCAGGTCATGATCTCAGGGTTCCTGGGTTTGAGCCCAACATGGGGCTCTGTGCTGACAGCTCAGAGCCTGGAGCCTGCTTCAGATTCTGTGGCTTCCTCTCTCTCTGCCCCTCCCCCACTCACCCTCTGTCTGTCTCTGTCTCCCAAAAAGAAATAAGAATATTAAAAAATATATAAAAAGAAAATAATTTATTTTTCCAGTGAAAGATGTTGCAAGTCCTCTGATCACTGTAGTTGGTTACTTCTTATTTACGGGAACTGGGAGCCTTATAAAATCCTTTTGATGCTTTGAAAGAAGTTAAGAGTTTCCATTTCACACAGCTTGAAAAAATCAGTTGTTACAACATGAGTTACCACTATAATCTTTACCAACAGAAATTATGTTTTAGTGGCTTGCATAGCTGTTAACAAGGCAACACCAGCTGCTGGTGGAAAATTGAGTTCCTTTTGTAGATTGTGTTTCCCCTGGTGCTCTTTTGCTATTCCTGCATAAACTGAGGCATCTTTATCTATGGAAGTAACTCTTCCAGGCTGCCATGGCCTTTTTCCTGGCAATTTTGATCCTGAATGGCACTACTAACAAGTTAGGCTGCTTAAATTCAAGTCTCATGAAGACTTAGCTTCTCTTAATCACGTGCATACTAACAATACTAGTATTGCAGAAAGTTGGAAATTATTTTTAAAAAAATTATAGTGTTAAGCTTTAAAGTAAAATCAATGTTATCTTTATTTAGTAGAGAATTTTTTCCAAAGTGGGCATTGTGCCAAGTGTCATGTCTTACTAGTACATTTTCATGTAAATATTGATGTGAAAATTTGCAAATGTGTTTTTATTTTAAAGTCTGAGTTATCAGTGTCTGCCTGCAGTAAATTCTATTATAAATAGTTGGTTGTTTCTCAACATCATATTTTCCTAGAGGGATTATTCTTTCTACTTGTTGTCTTTTCCTTTAGAAACTATACATATTTTTCACTTAATGAGGCTACATGGCCAAAAGACCATTTGAGTAGATTTTAAAGGATGAAGCTGTCTGTAGGCTGTCTGAATATGAACAAATTCTCAACTGAGGTACAGAAACGAGGTGGCAATGGCTATTTTGGAAACCCACTGTTCTGGTTTTCAAATTTACTCGTGTAGAGAGAAGAAAGAATGATTTAGGGCTCCTGTGCTCACAACTCCACTACCTTGGAAGAGGAAATAGCTTTGGATGGAATTTCAGTTGACAAGGGAAAGTTGTGTTTCATGGAAATGTCAAGTTGCTGAGGTCAAGGTTTGGAATTCATGTTGGGTTCTGGGAGTGAAGGGCTTTGACGGTAAGCAAGGAAAGATGGTGAGAACTAGGAGCACTTGTGTGCCCTTTTCCCTCCATCTGTGGGGGCATGGTCTCTTTTAGTCGATCTACAGCAAGCCTGGCCATCTGTCATCAGAACAGGAAGCACTTTGACATGTAGCTCTGCTTCTCTCAGTCCCCAAACAGACTGAAGAGAACAAGAATAGCTTTTATCCCCCAGCCCTCCCTGGCTCTGTAGAAGGCAATAAGGGGACTTGTCAGTGAAATGTTTGCTTAGAAGTTGCTTTTCCATAAACTACCCCAGTTCCCTATCAGCCTGCCTCTAGTTATATCAAGTACTTAAAAAATGAGAAGAGAACTAGATGTTGCTCTTCTTGTAAAATTATTTGCTTTTAGGGTTTCGTCCTCTAAGAAGCTCTTGGTTTTGGTTGAGTCTCTAGTTTAATATCCATCCTAATATGTGCTGGAAATGTGTACATAGAATCCATGTGACCAAACCAGCCCTTCCATGTGAAGGACTTCATAATCCATTTTGTCCAACCGTCTTACTTTACAGCTGGGGAAGCAGAAATCCTGAGAGGGTAGGGAGCATTTCAGAGGTCACACAATTAGTTTATTAAGAGTTGAATCTGAAATGAAACATGCACAGCTGCCTCTTAATCTAGTACTTTCCCCTTGTACTAGCTTGCCCTAACTTACAGCATGATTTCCAGATGACTTCCGTCTTTGGTTAAGTTAGCAAACTTGACCTCATGTAATCATTGTTCCATTTATAGAACTTTAAATACTTACTCAAATGGATATTTAAAATACATCTTCCAGTAACTTTTTTGGAATAGGCAGTGTATTTGGTATCTAACACAAGAGGAAAAATATATATATTGACAGCATCAGAAATAATCAAAACAAGGTAATTCAAATTTTCACAACACTCTAAACATTTTAAATAAAATGGCAGAGCAGTGGACAAATTTTAGGAGGTGAGAGGCCATAGCTGCTTCTTACTCCGTGCATTAAACATGTTGATTCTTACTTGGGCTGTTAGAAAAATGCTGAACAGCTTGGCACTATCCAGTATTCTTCTACCTTTGGGTCAAATGAACCTGAAGCAAATTGGTAAGTGCTGGCACCCTAGACTCCTGTGCCACTGGGCTTTTTGTGCCCTGACTACTTTGCCTAAGATATAAACCTTCTATTTCCACCATGAGGGCCTTATCCTGCTGTTCTGGACAAGGCAGACTGTGGTTTCAAATTACACCCTACTTTCAAAGTCAGAAAGCTGGAAAGCCCATGTTCTTACTCCAACCAGCAAGAAGATTTTTCTTTAAAGAAAGTCAAGAATTAAAAACTAAAATGATGAGTTTTAGTTCCTTCCACAAAAGCCATCATATCACACCTACTAAATAATTACATCTCCAGATATTTGGGGATTTAATAGAAATAAAGCCTCTGATAAAGCACATGGTGGTAGTGTGGTACCCTAGAGTATTAAGCAGACTTGGAATGATATTATCATTATCATCTATGGCATTATATCATAGTGCTTGCAGTTGATATGTAAATGTATCTTTGGAGCAATATACAGGCTGACTTCTTGCATGAGTTGAGTGACCATACAAGCTATCTTAGGATCCTAGGCAGTTACCTCCCCCTCATACTCAAAATGACCCAGTTTGGGCAATAAACTATTCATTCACATATGAATAGTACTAGAATAATGAAATCATTGGCCCAATATTTTAAAAATTTCTAGACACCCCTAAACTCTGTGTGTATGTGTGTGTTCATTTCTACAAATCAACAAAATGTCTTCTGTAGTTTCATGATGAGAAACAAAAGAATGAGCCTTATGTTTTATAGTGATATGATAATGCTCAGGTATGCATATGCTATATTGCTATATATTTTCTGCTTTCCCAACTTAGAACCCCCTTTATAGATAGCACTCTGACCACGAAGCAGACTCTAGAAGTATTATAGACAGGTTAGTGAACTATTAGGTAAAGTTATAGCTAAGTTAGTAGGAAATATTTAAATAGTGGAAAGATAAGCCTGTCTCAATAGTCTGCTCCTGTAATTGCCAGACATAAGCACTTTACCCATAAATATGATTGGCAGAGACAAGTACTTTTTTAAATTTATTTCTAGGAGAGAGAGAGAGAGAGAGACAGCGTGAGCAGGGGAGGGTCAGAGAGAGAGGGAGTCACAGACTGAAACAGGCTCCAGGCTCTGAACTGGCAGTCAGCACAAAGCCCGACGTGGGGCCTGAACCCACGAACCACAAGATCATGACCTAAGCGAAAGTCAGACGCTCAACTGACTAAGCCACCCAGGCGCCCCAGACAAGTACTTTTTAAATTTTTTATATTTATTTTTATTTTTTAGCTATTTTGTTTTTAGAGAGTGGAAGAGAGAGCATGAACAGGGAATAGCAGCAGAGGGAGAGGGAGAGAGAGTCTTAAGCAGACTCCACACCCAGCACAGAGCCCAACAAGGGACCCCATCTCACTACCGTGAGATCTTGACCTGAACAGAAAACAAGAGTGGGACACTTAACCGACTGAGCCACCCAGATTCCCCAAAGACAAGTAATTTTTAAAAGAAAACAGACACATGAAATGATGCTCAGCATCCCTCCTCATCAGGGAAATACAAATCAAAACCACACTGAGATACCACCTCACGCCAGTCAGAGTGGCTAAAATGAGCAAATCAGAGAACTCTAGATGCTGGCGAGGATGTGGAGAAACGGGCACCCTCCTCCACTGTTGGTGGGAATGTAAACTGGTACAGCCCCTCTGGAAAACAGTGTGGAGGTTCCTCAGGAAACTAACAGTAGAACTCCCTTATGACCCAGCAATAGCACTGCTAGGAATTTACCCAAGGGATACAGCAATGCTGAGGCATAGGAGCACATGGACCCCAATGTTCATAGCAGCACTCTCCACAATAGCTAAAACATGGAAAGAACCTAAGTGTCCATCAACAGATGAATGGATCAAGAAGATGTGGTTTGTCTATACCATGGAATACTGCATGGCAATGAGAAACAATGAAATCTGGCCATGTGTAGCAACATGGATGGACCTTGAGGGTGTTATGATGAGTGAAATAAGTCAGGCAGAGAAGGACAAATATCATATGTTTGCACGTATAGGAGGATTAGGAGGAACTTGACGGAGGAACAAGGGGGAGAAGAAGGGGGGAAATGGTGGGGGAAAGGGAGAGAGGCAAACCATGAGAGACTCTTGAATGCTGACAAAAACTGAGGACTGATGGATGTGGGGGGGAGGGGGGGATGGGCATGGAGGAGGACATTTGTGGGGATGAGCCCTGAGTGTTATGTGGAAACTAATTTGACAATAAACTATTTGTAAAAAAATAATAATAATAAAAAATAAAAGAAAACTTCGAATTAGTTCAAGTAGTCTGAAATTCTACCA